ATTATCATCATCGTCCGACTCAGCATCATCGCAATCATCATCACGTACACCGTCATCATCGTAATAATCATCATCATACATGAGCATCAACCTTATCATCATCATCATCATCCTAATCATCATCATCATCACCATCAACATTCAAATCATCATCAAAATCATCATCAGCAACATCATCATCATCGTCAGCATCACATAATTATCTTCATTATCGTTCTCCGAATCATCACCATCATCATCATCTTCATCATCATCAAAATTAACATCGTCGATATCGTCATTATCATCATTGGCATCATCAACAGAATCGTCAGAATCATCATAAACATCATCTTCAATACCTTCATCCAAGTCATCATCATCATCCTCATCATCATCATCATCCGAATCATCATCATCATCGTCATCATCATCATCATCATCATCATCATCATCATTGTCATACGAATCATCATCATCATCATCATCATCATCATCGCCGTCATCCGAATCATCATCATCATCATCATCATCATCCTCGTCATCATTCGAATCGTCATTATCATCATGATCGTCCGACTCACCATCATCAGCATCAGCATCATCATCAGCATCATCGTCATCATCATCATCGTCATTATCATCAGCATACGCCGAATCATCTTCATTATCCCAATCATCATCATTATCCGATTCATTAACATCGTCATCATCTTCACCATCATCCCCACCATGATCATCATCAACGTCATCATTACCATCACCATCCGAATCATCAGGTTCATCGTCGTGATCATGAATAACACCATCATCATCCGAATCAACATCATTATCATCATCATCAACATCATCTTTCGAGTCATCTTCATGATCCACCTAATAATCATCATCATCATCATCATCATCATAATCGTCATCATAACAGTAATCATCATCATCATGTTCCGAGGCGTCATCATCGTCACCATAATACGAACCGTCTTCGTCATCATCGTCATCATCAACATCATCAACATCATCATCATCATCGTCATTATCATCTTCACTTTCCCATTCATCAACATCATCATCGTCGTCATCATCATGATCATCATCAAAATCGGTATGTTCAACATCATTCGATTCATCGCCATCATCGTCATCTTCATCATCATCATCATCATCGTCCTCATCACCAACATCCGAATCATCATGATCATTATGATCATCATCACATTATCATATTTGTTGTCCTCCTCCGAATCTTCACCATCTTCATCATCATCATCATCATCATCATCACATATCATCAACATCATAATCATCAACATCATCATTATCATCATCAATAACATCCTCAACATCATCATCCTTATCATCTTCATCCGTGTCATCATCATCATCATCATCGTCATCATCATCATAATCCTCCTCGGCATTATCATCATCATCCAAATCTTCATCGTCATCCTCAACATCATCATCATCATCTTCATCATCGTCATCTTTATCAACATCATCAACGTCATCATCGTGATCATCATCATTAGGATCATCATCATCCGAATCATCAGCATCAACATCATCATCATCAACATCGTGCGGATCCTCCTTACCATCAAAAACCTCTTCATCATCATCTTCCTCAGGATCATCTTCATGATGCCATCATCACCATCATCGTAATCAACATTATCATCATCATCTTCATCAACATCATCACAATCCGAATCTTCATCTTGGCAATCACCACCATCATTTAAGTCGTAATCATCATAATGGTCATCATCATACATAAGCATCATTCTTATCATCATCATCATCACCCCAATCATCATCATCATCACCATCATCATCATCATCATCTTCATCATAATCCGAGTCATTATCATTATCCGGTTCGTCAACTTCATCATCATCATCACCATCATCCTCCTCATCATCAACTTCATGGGCATCATCATCATCAGCATCCATGTCATCATGATCATCATCGTTATCATCATCAACATCATCATCATCCGAGTCATCATCATTTTCATTATCATCAAAATCCTTGTCACCATCGTCCTACGAAACGTCATTCAAATCATCATCATCGTCCTAATCCTCACAATCGTCATGCGAATCATCATCGCCACCAACATTGTCTACATCATCATCATCATCCGGATCGTCATGATCATCGTCATCATCACCATCACCGTCATCAACATTATCATCAACATCATCATCACCATCATCATCCTCATCATCGTCTTCATCATCATCATCATGATCATCTTAATCATCATCACTGTGATCATCATCATCATCATCATGATCCGTATTATTATCATAAGCATCTTCATCCGAGTCATCGTCGTCACCTTTATCAACATCAACGTCATCATCACCATCGTCATCATCATCATCTTCATCATCATCCTCTTCATCATCAACATTATCATCATCACCATCATCATGCGAATCATCATCATATTAGGTATCATCAACCGAATCATCATCGTCACCATCATCAACATCAACGTCACGATGATCGTCATCATCATCATACTCATCATCTTCATCATGGTCGTCGTCATCGGCTCCATCATCACCATCATATTCATCATCATAATGATCGTCATCCGAATCATCATGATCATCATCCTCATCATCAACATTATCGTCATAATCCTGCTAATCATCATAACCAGAACCGTCATGATCATCCGATTCATCATCATTTTCTACAGCTTTGTCATCCTAAACTTCAACAGGATCATCATCGTCATTTCCATTCGAAACATCATCATCATTATCATCATCCAAATCAACTTCGTCATCATCATCATCATCATCATGAACCGAAACATCATCATCATAATCGTGGACAACAACTTCATCAATATCACCATCATCATCATAATCATCATCTTCGTCATCATATTCATTACCATCCGGATCAACTTCATCATCATCCTAAGCATCATCGTCCGATCGAACACCGTCATCTCCACCGTCCTCATCATCATCATCATCATGCGAATCCTCATCGACATCATCAAAACCACAATATCAGCATCATCATCATCATCATCATCTTCATCATCACCCTCATAAGAATCCTCATCGCCGTCATCCTCATCATCATCATCATCTTCAAAATCCGAATAATAACCATCAAACCAGCATTATCATCATCGTCCTCATGTTCAGCATCATCATAATCCGAAACGTCACCATCATGAACATAATCATCATCATCATCATCCGAATCATCCAAATCATCACCATCATCATCATCATCATCCGATTCATCATCATCATCACCACCATAACCGTCTGTGTTATCGTCTTCACCGTCATTGTCATCATCAACCGAAATATCATCATCCGAATCATCATCACCATCGCCATCATTATCAAAATCATCAACATCGTCATCATCATCATCATCTTCGCAATCCAAAATTTCACCTTCATCATCACAATCATCCTCGTCACCCGAATTATCACCATCATCACCATCCTCAACATCATCATCATCATCATCATCATCCGAATCATCATCATCACCATCGTCAACATCATCATCAACAACATATACAACATCATCATTACCCTCATTCGAATCCTGAACGACATCATCATCATCATCAATATCATCATCATCATCATCGTCATCATCAACATCCAAATAATCACCATCATACCAGACTTATCCTCATCCTCATCATCATCATCATCATAATTCGAAACGTCACCATCATCAAAATAATCGTCATCATCACCCTAATATTAAACATCATCACCATCATCATCAACCTCGTCAAAGTCAACATCATCAACATCAAAATCCGAATCACCACCGTCATCCTCCTAATCCTCATCTTCGTCATCATCGTCCTAGTCAGCATCATCATCATCTTCATCTTAATCATCGTCATCCTCATCATCAACTACATCACCGTCATTATCCGAATCGTCATCTGAATCATCATCACCATCATCATCATCAATACCATTCCAAACATCACCATCAACATCATATTCATCACCATCTTCATCATCATCCTCATCATCATCGTCATCATCATCATCATCATCCGAATCACCATCACCATCAGCATCCATATAAGCATCATCAACATTGTCATCATCGTCATCATCATCACAATCCGAAACGTCAACATCATCATTATAATCAGCATCATCACCCGAATAATCACCATCATCACAATCATCATCATCATCATCATCATCATCATCATCATCGTCATCATCATCCGATTCATCATCATCATCTTCATCATCATCATCATCACCCGAATAATCACCATCATCACAATCATCCTCATCATCATCATCATCGTCATCATCATCCGATTCTTCATCATCATCTTCATCATCATCATCCGATTCATCATCATCTTCAACATCATAACCGTCTGTATTTTCGTCATCACCGTCAACGTCATCATCGACCGAATCATCCTTATCCCAATCATCATCACCATCATCATCAATATCAACATCATCAACATCGTCATCATCATCTTCTTCTTCACAATCCGAAACTTCACTTTTATCATCACAATCATCCTCCTCACCCGATTAAACACCATCATCACCATCGTCATCATCGTCATATTATTCATCATCATCCGAATCACCATGATCATCATCCTCAACATCATCATTATCATCATAATCATCATCATCAACATCGTCACCGTTATCGTCATCATCATCAACATCATCATCATCCGAATCATCAACATCATCATCGTCATTATCATGGTAGTCAACATCTACATCATCCATATCATCCGAATCAGGATCGTCATCCGAATCATCATCCGAATCATGACCGTCGTCAACACCATCATCGTCATCCGAAACGTCATCATCATCTTCCGAATCATCATCATACGAATCATCATCATCATCCTCAAGATCATCATCGTCCGAAACATCATAATCCGAATATCCTCCATCCGTTTCGTCGTCGANATCATCATCCGAATCATCATCATCATCATCATCATCATCATCATTTTCATCATCATCATCATCATCGTCATCATCATCATCATCATCATCATCATCATCATCATCATCATCATCACGATCTTCGTCATCATCGTCATCATCATCATCTTTATCATTGTCATCATTAACATCAGCATCATCATTTGAGTCATCATCATCATCAATAACATCGTCGTCATCATGTACATCATTATTATCATCCCAATCAGCATCGTCATCCGAATGATCATCAGAATCATCATCAACATCCGAATAATCATCGTCATCCGAATCGTCTTCAGAATCCTCCGAATCGTCATCGTCATCGTCATCATCATCATCATCATCATCATCGTCATCGTCCTCATCATCGTCAGCTTCATCATCTTCATCCGAATCCTCATAATTCGAATCACCATCATCCGATTCAGCATCATCGATGTCATCATCATCTGCGTCATCAAAATCACCATCAACCGAATCATCATCATCATGACCATCATCATGCTCATCATCATCATTATCCCCATCATCCGAATCATCGCCATCATCATCATCATCCAATCATCATCACCATCGTCGTCACCATCATCATCTTCATCTTTATGAGCCGAATCATCATCCGAATCATCGTCATCATCATCGTCATCACTATCTGAATTTTCCTCATCATTTTCATCCGAATCGTCATCATCCTCACCATCATCCTCTGAGTCATCATCATCATCATCATCATCATCATCATCATCATCATCATCATCGTCATCATCGTCATCATCATGATCATCATCATCATCATCATCATCATGGTCATTATCACTGAATTCATCCTGTCTATGATCATCCACCTCAGCATGAACCTCAATAGCATTATCTTCGTCATCATAGCTATATCCACCACCTCCATAGGCCCCGTCATTTTGCTTATATATATCGTCGTCTTCCTCATCAGATTCAACCTTATCAGCATAATTATCATCAACATCTTCAGTATAATTTTTTTTCTCCGTCGTCATCATTTTAATCGTATCCAATGCTTTTTAATTATCTCTATTATCGTCATCATCTCCATTATCATCATTATCATCATCATTATTATCAATATCATCAACATGTTTGTCATCATTGCAATGATCATCAACACATTCAGCATTCTCATCTTCATCATTTTCATCATCAACATGTTAAAGGTCATCATGATCATGTTCATCTTCATCAACATCATCATTACCATCAAAATATCATGATCCCCCTCTTGATCTTCATCATCATCATCATTATCAACATCATTATCTTCCCCAAATTCGTTGTCGTCATCGTCATCATATTTCTAGTGAAATATTAGCAGACGTGTCACGTTTTTTTACTGGGCATCATTATCGCCTGTTTCACACGAAATGTATTTGGTATGTATGTTACTCGACCACTGACTCTAATAATTCCATCGTTTAGAAACGGAGCTA